TTTAAGGTCTTTCTTCTTCATCTGTGTTGAGATATTCAGGTCTTGCTGGAATGGGGTCCCTAGACACTGTTGGCATCATATTGATCTTTCTGTTGAATGTGTTCTTATACTGTCGTCTTCCCATCCCTTCTTCCAGTGGGTGCCTGTTGGATCTCTCCATCTCCTGGTGGGTATGGGTTCAATGTTCTCTTCAGGTGGGTGCAAGCAGGCCCAGTAATCTGATGGCTCTCCTCTTCCCATGGGTGGAGGTGGGACTAGTACTGAGATGTTGACCGTCTCTGGATGGACAGGTTCCCATGTGTGCAATCCCCAGACTTCAAGTAATTTAATGCCGTGCTGAGGAACAGTTATCAATTATAAAGTTAAATAATTTTCACATTATTAGTAAATGACACAGTAGAACCTCATATCTTCTAGCTTTTTGAGTCTGATTTTTATCTTCAAAATTACTATTAGAATGGGATAATAGTTTTCTTTTTTAATTTTAGACTGCTTTATTTTTATGTATTTTGTTTCTTTAAATTTTCTTTTACTTATTTAATTTAGAATCAATCTTATTTTACATATCAATCCCAGTTCCCTCTCCCTCCCTTCTTCCCATGCCCCTCACCAACCCACTCCACTCCACCCCCCAGCCACTCCCCAGGAAGGGTGAAGTCTTCCATGAGGGATCATGAAAGTCTGTCACATCATTTGGGGGAGCTCTTAGTCCCTCCCCCATGTATCTGGGCTGAGAGAGTATCCCTCCATGGGGAGTGGACTCCCAAAGTCCATGTGTGCACTAGAGATAAATACTGATTCCACCGTTAGAGGTCCCATAGACTGCCCAGGCTTCCTGATACCCACATTCAGAGGGCTTGGTTCAGTCCAATGCTGGTTCCCCAGCTTTATAACTTGGTCTGATCAGCTAGCTGCTTCTGTGAGTTTCTCTAGCTGGTCTTGACCCCATTGCTCATCCCTCCTCCCTCTCTACAACTGGATTCCAGGAGTACAGCTCAGTGCTTAGCTGTGGGTGTCTGCTTTTGCTTCCATCAGATACTGGGTGAAGGCTCTAGGATGGCATATAAGGTAGTCATCAACCTCATAGGGGAAGGACATTTAAGGTAGCCTTTCCACTATTGCTTATATTCTTAGTTGGAGTCATCCTTGTGGATCTTTAGACATTTTCCTAGTGCCAGATTTTTCTTTAAACCTATAATGACTTCCTCTATTAAGGTGTCTCTTTTCTTGCCCTCTATTTTTCCCCTGACCCAGTCTTCCTGATTCCTCATGGCCTCCTCCCCTTCTCTGTTCCCTACTTCTCTCCACCCACTCCCCATGCTCTCAATTTGCTCAGGAACTCTTGTCCCTTTCCCTTTCTCTGGGGGACGATGTATGTCTCTCTTAGGGTCCTCCTTGTTTCCCAGATTCTCTGGAGGTCTGGATTGTAGGCTGGTAATCCTTTGCCCTGTCTAATAACCATATATGAATGAGTACATACCATATTTTTCTTTTTTGACTGGGTTACCTCACTCAGGATGGTTTCTTCTAGTTCCATCCATTGTCCTTCAAATGTCAGGATTGCATTGGTTTTTTTTCTGCTGAGTAATACTAACCTGGAAGCATCCTAGATGCCCCTCAGCCAAAGAATGGATAGAGAAAATGTGGTACATTTACCCAATCGACTTCTTTAAACTTCAAAAATGATCAGGCCTTTGTTGACTTTCATTAAATGAATACATAGCTCACATGAAATTATGTACAAATGTGGCTAGAAATTTAATTATTTATAGTCTTAAGATAAGTCAATAGATAATATTTGTAGTTTGAAAAAATTAATTACAAGGACAATGTAAAATAAAAATATCAGAAAAGTATGCAGTACATCACAAAAATTATGATTAAGATACAAAATCTTGGAACCGAAAAGGAATCACGTGTGTTACAGAAAACTACTTAACATGACAAATCTTAGAGAAATGTCAACTACATAGAAAGTAGGATAAAATGTAAGAATTTGATCTTACATGTGTCTTTTGTAAGGGTACAGAAGCTAATATCAAGTTAAAAATACATAGAATCCTGGGGCAGGAGAATAGCTCGGTGTTTAAGAGCACCAGCTGATCTTCTAGAGGAGCCAGGTTCAGTTCCCAGCATCCATAGGTAGCTGCTAAATATCTGTAACTCCGGTTCCAAAGGATCTGATTCCTTCTTCTGTCCTTCACAGGCATTAGGCACATACTTGTGGACATGCATACATGCAGACAAACCACCCATACACATAAGAAATAAAATCTTTTTTTAATAAATCTTTTTTTATTATTTTAATTTTAAATGGTTTGTTTTACATGTCAATCCCAGTTCCCTCTCCCTTTCCTCCTCCCGCACCTCCCCATCATCCCCCCCCCCATCCTCCTACCCTATTACCAATTCCTTCCGCATAGGGGATATCTAGAGTCTGTCATTTCACTCAGGGTAGGGTCCCACTGCCAGTGGGACCCGCAAACTGCCCAAGCCACACTACTGTCACCCACGTTCAGAGGGTCCTATGCAGGCTCCCTGCTGTCAGTCCACAGTCAGTGATCTTGCTCACTAGATCAGGTAAGATTGGATTTTCCCAAACTGGTTTTGACACCTTTGCTCCTCCCCCTCTTCAGCTGGACTCTGGGAGCTCAGCCCAGTGCTTAGCTGTGGATCTCTGCATCTGCTGGATGAAGGTTCTATGATGATAATTCAGGTGGTCATCAATCTGATTACAGGGAAGGCCAGTTCAGGCACCCTCTCCACTGATGCTTAGGGCATTAGCAGGGGTTATCCTTGTGGATTCCTGGGAATTACCTTAGTGTCAAGTTTCTCTTCGAGCCCCATAATGACTCCCTCAATCAAGATATCCCTTTTCTTGCTCTCCCTCTCTGTTCTTCCCCTTTCTCAACCATCCTGTTTCCTGGTGTTCTCCTCCTTCCCCTTCTCCCCGTAATAGCAGTTAATACTTTGCAATTATTAGGTCATTTATTCTTCTAAACAACTTATTTAATCACTTTATTTTTGTAATTTTGTTGATAGTGATATGATTTTCTTCAGTGTGTAACCTGAGTTATTTTGTAGCATATTAAATATAATCCTTTATATATATTATATAAATATACTCCTTTAGTTAAAATATTGCATCTGTTTAAAACTTCCCATTAAAATGCAAATTAATATTTTAGTTCATTTTTTCAGATTCATTAGCCATGATTTGTTCTCCTATTATTTATGTGTGATACAGGAAAATAGTAAGTAGTAATAGAATACCTTTCGTATTCATTATTAACAAAACCTCCTGTTTGTCACATAGCCAATAAGTGAAGAAGCTATGTCCTCACTGAGATACCTGTCTCTAGGGGCCATGAATTTAATGCTACATTGAACCAATAATAGAGTACATCGATATATAAACAGTATATAATATAACCATTGCTGTTTAGTATTTCTAAACTGACGTACACTGTTGAAGGTCCTTGTGTAACAATATAGCACACACACACACACACACACACACACACACACATATATATATTTTCGAATCAGGTTTTCTCTGTTTTGTTTTGGAGCCTATTCTGGAACTTGCTCTGTAGATCAGGCTGGCTTCAAACTCACAGAGATCTGCCTGCCTCTGCCTCCCGAGTGCTGGGACTAAAGGTATTCTTTTACGTGGCTTTGTATTAAGAAGTATTGAGTAGCCTTGTAAAAAATCCGTTTATCATTCTTTTCCTTATTTATTTGAAAGAGCCCCTAATATTCTTCAGGTAGATCACTGATAGATTTATTTACTCTCTGGTATAGACTCTAAGCAAAAAGCCAACCCCAACACCACCAAGTGCAAGCAAGTACTTATATATATAGCTCAGGTATAGCACACAAAAGTATTTGTCTTGGTTGCTTTTCTATTGCTGTGGTGAGAAACCATGACCAAAATCACTTACAAAGGAAAGTGTCTAATTGGGCTTGTGTCAGAAAGTTAGAGTCCGTGATGGCAGAGCAGACATGCTGGCAAGAAGAGCTGGCATTCCACATCTTAGTCCACAAGCAGGAGGCAGAGAACACACTGGGAATGGCACCATTCCTTTGAAACCTCAGATCTCCTGAATTGTCGCACCTCCTCCATAGGGCCACCCTTTCTAACCCTTCTCAAATTGTTCCAACAACTGAGGACCATGTATGCAAACATGTATTGAGCCTATGGAGCCATTGTCATTCGAACAGCCACAGTATTTTTGATAATATCAACACAGATGTAGGCTTTGTGAAACCATGATAAACAATAAAGTAGATTTTATTCCCTGATCAGACACCTCCAAATAACCTGTATTTTTGTCTCTCCTCATTTCAAAATAGTCCCAGTCTCTTAATTTTAATTTCCAAGCTGGCCTGATTATTCAAATTTCGGGGAACAGTCTTATCTCTCAGTAGTTGTTACCACAAAAACATAGGTTTGGCTTGGGGGGGGCGGCTTTGTGTGGCTTGGTTTTGGGATATTATGTTCCCTTGTCCCTTTTACAGCATGAGTCTGATTTCATAGGTTTCCCCCATAGAGCCATACAAAATCATTGGTGGCAGTGGGCCTCTTAGTGTATTCTGTGTTTGATGTAAATTTTTGAAGCCTAAAACCTTGATCATTATATGCTGAGAAATTTTAGTTATTATCACAGCTATAATTAATTTTCCATTGAAGAAAACTGAGTTATATAGTGCTAACCAGTGTATAAAATTTGAACCACTTTACAGTCTATTTTTATTTTTTACTGTACTTCAGCTACATTGTATACGTTTTTTAATTAGAAGGTTAAATGATATATCAGCAGATGAGTATTATAGCATATTTTAAGTGTGAAAATAGTACATTAAGATACCATTAATTGTGCTTTCATAAATGTAGTTTAAGTGAATTAAAGAAGGAGAATCTATGTAGTGATATTGAGAATAATTATAGAATTAAATACTCCTGTTACTTGCACTTTTTTGTTCTTTGTTTTTTTCAGGGCTATGTTTGAAGTAAACATGAAAGAAAGAGATGACGGGAGTGTTACCATTACTAACTTGTCCTCCAAAGCAATAAAGGCATTTCTTGACTATGCCTACACAGGAAGAGCAAGAATAACAGATGATAACGTGGAAATGTTCTTCCAGTTGTCATCCTTTCTTCAGGTTCCCTTCTTGTCCAAAGCTTGCAGTGACTTTTTAATAAAAAGCATCAGTCTCGTCAATTGTTTGCACTTGTTATCTCTGTCAGACAGCTATGGCTCTACCCATTTATTTAGTCACGCTTTATGCTTTGTGCAACGTCACTTTCATTTGTTATTTAAATCCAGGGAGTTTTTGGAGATGAATTTTGGAGTGCTGGAAAAATGCCTGGAGTCAGATGAGTTAAATGTACCTGAAGAAGAAATTGTCCTGAAGGTTGTCATCACATGGATTAAATACAACTTAGAGTCCAGGCAAAAGCACCTGCCTCACTTGATTACAAAAGTCAGGTTACATCAGTTATCCGAAGACACACTTCAAAATTATCTGCTCAATGAGGAGTGCTTACTCAAAAGCACAAACTGTTTTGACATAATTGTGGATGCCATTAAGTGTGTACAAGGTTCTAGTGGCCTCTTCCCTGATGCTCGACCATCCACAACGGAAAAATATATATTTATCCATAAAACTGAGGAAAATGGAGAAAATCAATATACATTTTGCTATAATATTAAAACTGACTCATGGAAAATACTGCCACAATCACATCTGATTGATTTGCCAGGATCCAGTTTGTCTAGCTACGGAGAGAAAATATTCTTGACAGGTGGTTGCAAAGGGAAATGCTGCAGGAAGGTTCGACTTCATATTGCTGAGTCTTACCATGATGCCACTGACCAGACCTGGTGCTACTGTCCAGTCAAAAATGAATTTTTCTTGGTTTCAACCATGAAAACCCCAAGAACCATGCATACATCAGTCATGGCTCTCAATCGTTTATTTGTTATAGGTGGAAAGACTAGAGGATCCCAGGACATTAAAAGTCTCTTAGATGTTGAATCTTATGATCCACTATCCAAAGAGTGGACATCGGTTAGCCCTTTACCCAGAGGCATCTATTACCCAGAAGCCAGTGCATGCCAGAATGTCATTTATGTTCTTGGATCCGAGGTAGAGATTGCAGATGCATTTAACCCATCACTTGATTGTTTTTTCAAGTACAATGCCACAACTGACCAGTGGTCTGAACTCGTAGCAGAGTTTGGGCAATTCTTTCATGCTACTCTAATTAAAGCTGTTCCAGTAAACTGCACCCTGTATATATGTGATCTTTCCACCTATAAGGTGTATAGTTTTTGTCCTGATACTTGTGTTTGGAAAGGAGAAGGCTCTTTTGAATGTGCAGGCTTTAATGCTGGTGCAATTGGGATTGAGGATAAGATTTACATATTGGGTGGAGATTATGCACCAGATGAGATCACAGATGAGGTACAGGTTTATCACAGCAGCAGGTCAGAGTGGGAAGAGGTGTCACCAATGCCAAGAGCCTTAACTGAATTTTACTGCCAAGTTATTCAGTTCAACAAATATAGGGACCCATGGTTTTCTAATCATTTCTAAAAGTAGTATTTGCATGAGTGGTCTAAAATGATGCCTAGTACGATTAGTAAAAAAGTATTTGTGTCAGCACAATAAAATAGTCCTTTTATTGAAGAATGGCCATAGATGTATGCTGTCTATAAGTAGACAGTTCCCAGAAAATTAAAATACAAAATATATTTTACCAAAGTTATATTGAATGTAATTAAATATTGAATAGTTCATAATGCTTAGTATTATTTCATGTAAATAAAAAATTGAAGGTTTTGGCACGTTGACTTTAAGATAAAAGATGCTAAAAAATCAGTGTTCATAAATGTGTACCATGTAGAAGGGAGAAATATGTTTAAGAAGTGAAAATGACATATCGCCACATTATGTGACAAGAACATAAATTAGAAATAGATGAGAAGCTCACATTGAACACCGAAGGTCTAAGAATTATTGAATCTCTATCCTTTTCTGCCTGCTGGTTAAAAATATTTCATTTTACCTTTGTTCTGGTCAGAAACTTTCTGAAATACATTTCTCCACCCATCTGCCCAATATACTGAGGATAGTTTGGCATTATTCTTATGGTATATGATAAATATTATGTATATGTAATATTTTTGTTATTAATAGCATATTGAAGCACATTATGGTGCTAAGCCATTGAGGTTACTTTTCTTTTGCTTGCTGGTTTATTTGTTTTCAGTATCATTTTGAGACAGCTTTTAGTACCATGATAGCTTCCATTTTCTTGTTCAAATTTGGTAAATTTACATTTTCTTAACTGAATTAGCATCCTAAATTGCACCAAGCCTGAATGTGTCTTAATATATAACCCACTGAGTAATATCCTTGCAATCTGAAATGGTACTTTTAAATGCTCTTTCTGAATCATTAGTGCCTACTCCCCCAACACAGAGGATATAGAAATTTTTATATCTAGGGAAGTTGGTCATTAGAAGGAGGTAGATTTCTTTCTGACCTCTTTATACATGTTTGTCATTATACTTTAGTTCCTGTTCATCTCTCCCACTGCCTCCATATGTCCCCACTACTCTAGCTGGTTTCTTCCTGCCAGATAGTCCCCCTTTTGCTTCCAGGCCACAAGCATTCTGCTGCCCTTTCTTCTCCTCCCTTAAGACCTTTTCCTTCCTTCACAGTCACCTTTTCACTTCCGGGTCTCACAAACACACACTGTAGACATGCACAGATTCAGAAACAAATCTAGATTCTGTATGAAAGAAAACATACAATTTTTGTCTTTCTGGGTTTGGCTTATTTCACTTAGCATATTGACTTCTAGTTCCATCAATTTTCCTGCAGATGCCCTGATTGCATTCTCGATAGCTGAATATGATTCTGTTGTGCCATATTTTCTATATTCATCCGTGATGGTCATCTAGGCTGATTCTGTTATCCTGACTGTTTTGAACAGGGTACAGCAATAAATGTAATGTTCACTGAGAATCCTTTTGCAAGAATAGCCACAGTAAGAATAGTACAGTAAGAATCCATGGTTTAATTAGCACCTAACCAGTTTCCTGCCATGGGTTCTAATTGTAAAGTTGTTTTACAACTTTAGTAAATTACTCCAAGTGAATCACTCAAAAAAAATGACAGGACTTCTAATATCAGTAGTTTCAAAATCTAGGTCTTTGTGGGCTTCAACCAGAGCATGACCATCGTTTTTCCTGAGCAGGGTTGTTCTGCTTGCAAGAGACATACTGTTTAATTGCTCTAAAAGATATTCCCATTTTGTGTTTTAAGACCCCTGATTCACATCTCAGGAATTATGTAGATTGCACAACTGAGAATTAATGTGGTTTCCTAAGCTACATTATAAATATTCATTTGTAGTAAGTGTAGAATTAAGACTTATCTAAATGAAAGTTCTTTGATTGTATCACATATTTATGCAAACACAGATTTTAGATGTATTTTCAAAGCACATTTGCATGCAGCTTCAAAGTCGGACAGGGGATGTCAGTCACAAGGTGTTCAGTACAATCAGCTCTTTTTGAGCACGTAGACAGGTGGCTCTGCCCTTTCCTTTTGTGTGTACTTAAGAAAAAGAAAACTCAGGAGATGCTTCTCTGGCATTCTTTGAGAAAGTAACAATAAGTGACCTATGTATTCTTAAATAATGTCGGCAATGAGCCTAGGAATTACTCATTTCTTTCAAAAAAAGAGAAACTAAACTAAATCCCTTCCCAACTGTGTTACATTATCCAGTCCTTATATTTTTCTGCTAATCTCTATGGTAATGTCCCTGGACATCAAGGCCCGACTGGTCTACTGTGGATTTGTGGTCTTTGCTTATGCTGGTTTGGGACCTTAGTTGTATTTCTGTGCTTGCTTCATTTCTTACCATCTCTGTAAATCTATACCTTGTCCTCTTTTAGAGTTGTCATTATGAAGAAAATACTATGTCCAGTATAAAACATAGCCTCTTCATTCCTTTATCACCACAAAAGGCTTGGCTCAACTAATGTCTAATTTTGTATTTCCTTGTCATGCTTTCATTTCACCTAACTGCCCCTAAGGGGAAAAAAGGTTCTGTGTTCAATCTCCAGGACTCTATCCTCAATGGCTCCTTTGTTCCATGACTAAACTGGTATATCCAGTGGTCTTGCCAGTCCCTGTGGCCTCGATACCTAAGAACAGAATTATCACTCTGGCTCTCTTCATTCTGGTTTTCTAATATACAAATCTCTCTGATTTCTGAGGTCTGTCCTCAGAATATAGCATCCTTTTATGACATCTTCCTTTAGTCCTTTTTATTTTCTTTTTAAAGTCACTTTTCCTTTCATGTTGACCTTCAGCCAGGACCACAGTGTATTGGCCAAATAATTGGACTCACTGTCCACAATGCTGTCATTCCTGCGGGGGAGAAAAAATGTTTAACACTTCTCTGTTATTTTTTGTCTTGCTTTACCTCATTAGGAGTATGTGTACAGAAATATTTGAATATTATCTCCTAAAATTGAAGGTAGTATTAAATATAGAACTATAGAAGGATTAACATAAAATAAATTCAGAGTTAGTGGACATTCTAGTTGTGATCTTCAAACAAGTTAGAATGTGGTAAACCTTTGTTCATGTACGGTCTTGAAGAAGAGTATTTGCACAGTTAAAATTAGAATCCCGTACCCCTCAGCTCTGTGTTGGTAGGGAAAGAAATATTTATCATAGCAGGTTCATTGCAGACTACCCATGAAACCTGGATTACTTGAGGGCAACCATACATTGCAACAAAATTCCATTTTTTCATTGTGTTTAATTTGACAACCAAAATCTAAGACAGACAGATCTGTTTGATATCTTCATATTTGAAAGCATTGAATATTGTGATGACTATATACATGCTGAATATAGGATATTACTTTGGGATCTTTGTTCTCACATTGATTGAATCTTAGTTCTTGAAAGTTTCCTTCTTTATTTGAGATTAAAGTATAAGTTTTTAAAATGTCTCCAAGAAAGCAACTCCAGAGGGCCCTTCAAATTAAGAGCTAGACTTTACAGGAAAACAGACCTCTGTTCACTGTAGGAAGCAATCATTGCACTTTATAAGGGTGAGACTATTCCTAACACATTTTAACTCTTCAGATCTCAATTGGTTTACATAGTTGAGATTAAAAAAAAAAACTACTCAATTTTATTGAAGGGAAATTTTCTCTTTCCTTCCTCTCTCACTCCTCTTTCTTCCACCCTTCTTTACTTCCTTCTACCTCTCAGGAAGAGCATCTAACTGAGTAAAATCATAAAGACCAGAGCTGAAACTTGTATAAATTGTTGTTATTTCTCTGACACAGTACTTATATAAACAGAGGTGGCGATTGTCTGCCCTTATATCTTAAAAGTGTGTTTTTAGCTTACATTTGGTAACCTAAGGCCTACTCAAATTCATACCAAAGTAGAGAATTTAATCACAGGATGATACTAATGTTCATTTACAAAATGTTAACTCTTCTAAGTTAGAGATGTGCATTCAAAGTGAAAATAATCTTAGAACAAAATATGAAGAAAATCTTTCAACTTAAACATTTCAGACATAATGGTTTTTGTCTTAGAGTTTACAGTTAGATGCTTTCATGGGCAAAGAAATACTATACTATACTGATTCCAAACAGTTACCTTACAAAGTGCTACTAACACTGAAAGTAACTTTGCCAACTGTGATGAGAACTTCAGTTCTTGCTTTATGGTTTTCTCTGCATGTCAGTCATTCAAGTACTTGGAGCACACCCTGTCTCTTGTTGCTGCAAAGTGTATCCTCATTTTCCTTCTTATTTAAGAGCTCAACACATTGACTTCTCCATCAGTGGCCAATCTGCATGATTTCTCTTTGATAAAGTTGCCACAGAGAATTTGTCTTCATTGTTGTGCCATATTGTTGGGTTGAGCCTGGCAAGCTTCGTAGAATCTTTCATAGGAGGGTTTTACCTTACTGTCGTGTGCCAGTGAACTTGGTGGTTCAAACATTTCATTCTTGTCTAGCTCTCTATGTCTTAGTAGTCCTGTAGTCCTACAGAGTGTAGAGCAGTGACTCACAGGCTTTATGGTTTGCAACCTCTTTGGGAATCGAACCACACTGTCACAGGGGTTGCCAAAGACCATCAGAAAACACAAATATTCACATTATGATTCATAATGAGCAAAATTACAGTTAGGAAGTAGCAACAAAATAATTTTATGGTAGGTCACCACAACATGAAGAACTGTATTAGTGGGTCACAGCATTTGAAAGGTTGAGAACCACTGTTGTAGAGCCTTCTAGAGCCTTATTGTGTGTCCTGTGTACCCTCTTCCCATCAGTATCTTTGTGAACATATATTTTGCCTGGAGAATTTAAGTGTAAAATTTTAATAACAATTTTTGTTATTATATATGGTTTTTAATATTTTAAAACTCATCCAGAAAGTCTATAAAACATGGAAATCATAGATAGCAATTACATTATTAAGTGGAGAACAATTTACTAAGATTAGTATAGACAAGCCCTATGATAATCACAGCATGATATTTTCATACAACAAAGCCAAAATTCCATAATTAACAAACATGAAACTTTATTCACCTCATTAAGAATGTTCCCAACCATGTAGGTCTAACTAGCTCAACAAATTGTGTGATTCTTAAGGGTAATAAAGTGGCTGAAATAACTGAGTACAACCCTCTATTAATAAGTATCACAATAAGTATTTCTTTATATTTCTTATCTACCTGGAAGCCCACAAGGACTGAGACAACTTCATTTTAGGACTCAGCAATTAGCACAGTGCCTGTCACAGAAACCTGTCCAATAAACTAATTCTGTTGAGCAATGCATATATGTAAAGCAAATGTATTCATCAATTATGTCATCACTGAATGTGTCTTATTGTTTCCTGAAGGTAATGTTATAGCTTCTGAGTAATTCTTAGAAAAATTTTCTGAAAATAATGTTATAGCATCTCTCCTGATGGTAATATTATAGCTTCTAAGTAATTCTCTACCTATTTTTCAGGTAGGTGATTATTTGTTTTCATTCATTTTAACCATGATAGTAACTGTAACAGCTAATCTTGTGTTTCCTTTAAGTGGCAATGATGGATAAGACACTCAGTACAAATTCTGTTAATACATTTGGAACCCCCATTTCTAAGTGTAATTGCTTCAGGGAAATTTTTCCAGTGGGAAGAGGTAATGCCCAATGCTATTACTCAGGCAACTTATTTCATTTCTTTGTTGGTGAAATGCAGGGCTTCTACCATATGCTAGGAGAAAGTCAACATTTTTCAGGTTCGTATTAACCTTAATAATTATGTGGTAAAAATCTCAGTTCTATAAAATTTTGATTTATTAAAATCTGTCACAGTTCTCTGTATTATCAGAAATAAAAGACAGAAAAATGAATGTCAAGACTTATTACTTCTTTCCAGATGTTCTAGACTGATAAGCAACTCTGACAGATCTCAAACCACTAAAACTAGCATTTGAGTGGGTGGGTGTTAGAACCTCAGCACTGCTTGAGAAAGAACAGCAAATATCCATGGGCCAGAGTGGTGACAACAGAACTAAATGTACAGGGTCAGCTGCTGATCAACTCTGCTTTAACTAGGCCTATGCTATTTTAATAAAACTGTCTTCCAAAGACATTTAAAAGCATGGTCCCAGGTAATGATGCTATTTGGGGATTTTTGTATTACTGTCACAAAGAACTCTAACACATCACAAAAGAACCAGTCATTGTAAAGAGCAAAAGGTCTTTGTGCTTACAAATAAGCACTGGGAAAAACAGAAGTGTTAAGAACCAGGATTGTCTCTTTCAACAAAAGGAATGTGTCTATGTTTTCCATGCAGAAAGCTACAAGTGGCTGTGGTTAATAACCTGGTGACCATTGCTAACTGTAGGGCCAAGCCACACCCAAATCTCCCAGATTATTATATTTATCCAAAATTCTTCCTCAGTAGACCTTTATCTTTAGCATTGCTTCTCAGTCAATAGAATCCATTTTCAGAGGCCACATGCACTTTACAAAAGAATTCCAATGTAGTCATGCCTTAAACTTTATTGTACACATGGGATTGAGAAAGCTGTTAGTGAGAAAAAAATTTTCCAAAATTATACTTAAGTATGTGTAAAACAAACTGCCAAGTGTCAGACTCTAGCTAGCTGAACCAGTACTGACTAGCTAGGTCTTGCTGAACCAGATTAACTTCTTGCCTCTCATTGATCATTTCTATACTGGCACTAAGCATTTGCAGGTAGGATGATTGGGACCATACTACCTCATACCAGCAGCTCTTAGTATGGACTTAGAAAATAAAGCCAAAGCCTGAAAGTCTAAATGGAGCTGCATTGGGGATATTTTTTTAAGCATTAGCTTTGGATAAGTGTTATATTTATTCTTGTTTCTATAACTTGCTTTCTGACAGGACCCATATCTCTCATGTTTTTAACTTTACTAAGTAATGATTTATATTTTGCTAAGAGACCTTGACTCCTAAATCCTTATCCCAGACAAGGGAGTAGATTGAACCGTTTCTTCTAAAAAACAAAATTCTTTAAGATATTGACAATCTAAGCAATAGTGGAGAAGCTACCCTAAATGCCCTCCCCCAATGATGAGATTGATGACTAACTTATATGCCATCCTAGAGCCTTCATCCAGTGGCTGATGGAAGCAAAAGCAGACATCCACAGCTAAACACTGAACTGAACTCCTGGAACCCACTTGCAGAGGGGGAGGAGTGATGAGCAAAGGGGTCAAGACCTGGCTGGTGAAGCACACATAAACAGCTGACATGAACAAGGGAGAGCTCATGGACCCCAGACTGGTGACTGAGAGACCAGCATGGGACTGACCCAGACCCTCTGACTGTAGGTGTCAGGGAGGAGGCCTCGGCAATCCATGGGGCCTTGGATAGTAGACAAGTATTTAGTCCTGGTGTACAAATGGAATTTGGGAGCTCATTACACATGGAGGGATGTTGTCTGAACCTGGACACATGGGGGAAGGCCTAGGCTCTGCCTGGAATGATGTGACGGACTTCGAAGATTCCCCATGGGTGGTCGGGGGTGCTAGGGAGGAGGGGAGGATGAGGGAGCTGGGATTAATATGTCAAGAAAGCTTGTTTCTAATTTAAATTTGAAAAGATACTATTGATTCATTCTTTGACAGTTTTGTGTGTGTGTGTGTGTAAATTTATCTTGATCATATCCAGTCCCAATTTCCCCACTCCATCTCCACCCATAACCTCCCCAAGAATATGTCCTACCTGCTTCATGTTCTCTCTTCTTAAAAAAGAATCCACTGAGTCCACTTAATGTTGCCTCCATGCCCACAAGCAGCCCATCAGTGGCCATACTCCTTAAAGAAAAATGCACGTCCTCTCCGAGTAGCCAGCAATTGCTTCCACGTGTGCAGGTAACCATAGCTGCAGTGAGTTCCTAAGTGCAACCAGCATGTCTCCAGCTCTTACCTTCTTTGTGCTTTCTCTTCCACAATGATCTGAGTCCTTTGAGACTTTATAGTGTCTCATTTAGGACTGCATGCTCAACAGTCACTTATTCTCAGTAGCTGTTGTGTGTACTGACTGTTGCCTACTGCAAAAAGAAACTTCTCTGACCTGTGTTGAGAGAAGCACTGATCTACTGATATAAACAAATACTTAGAAGGTAGTTTAACAGCATGTATGTTTAGCAGAACAGCAATATTGGGTCTCTGTATTTAAGCCATGGACTTTTGATAATTTTACAGTACTAGTCATGAATTACCTTCTGTGTAGTTGACCTCAGCATCAATAAAATGCAGTCACAGCACTATTGCATTTAAAGGCACATTTTGCCTAACCCCACTATGGGGTTAGTTGATCGATGAATTTTCTCCCTCAGCAAGAAACCCTTGAAAGAGGAAGAGTCTTAGTTTATTTTCTGGTTGCTATGATAAAAACCCCTGACAAAAGCAAACAGAAAGTGTTTGTTCCAGCTCACAACTCAGAGGTATAGTCCATCAAGGATGAGAAGGCAGCAGGAGCTTGGAGCAGCTGGATATGATACCCACAGTCAAGAATAGAAGACAATGGACTAGTCAGTACATGCATGCCAGTGATCATCTGGCTCTCTATAATTTTAGGTAGTCTTACATCCCATGCCCAGGGAAATGGTGTAACACAGTACATAAGTTAAGTTAACATAAATAATCTCCATAAATGTCCAAGACACTTCTCCCAGGTTATTCCAATGATTTGACAACACTAATGATCTCATGAAGTCTGTCTCAGGCTCTCATTTTTTGATACAGCCAGTTGTATTCTTTTTATTTCTTAAGGTCTGTAGTACATGTTAGTACTGGATAAGAATGGGTTGATCCAGATTCCTTTCAATAAAACCAATTTTCTCTGTGCCTCCAGCTTCCTGAATTTCCCTTTGACTTCAAGCACTGCTCCAGTCCCTTCCTTTTAATTCATCTAGATAGAATACTTAAACAGTTTATTTAAAAAAATAAACTGGTCCTAACACTGCTGAGGTCTGTATTGATCTCTGTGGCCCATGTTACCACCAAATGCCATGTGGATGTCTGCAGTCTGGGCTGCCACCTGAGGACATGTTGAGGCCCTAGGGCCACAATGAGCTGGTCCCATCCCATGCCTGGACAGCATGGGAGAGCTGCCCCAGGTGGTGCAGGTACGGTAGAGCTGGTAGGCTGTCCAACTCACCTACCAACCAGGCCCCGATTCAGAGCTTGGAGTTGGTTCATCCCAACATCGATACCATGTGTCAGCTGCTGCATGTGAAAGGGGTGCTCCTGTGGTACCACAGCCTCAGGATTTGCTGACTCAGGACAACAGCAGTAAGTATCTCAGTGAGGTCCAGTGTTGATGGTGTATCAGAAGCCAGAGACTAATAATTACAGCGAACAAATGAAAGTAAAGCTGTTTGCACAAAACAGTATACTGCGTGACACACTACAGCTTCAGATGCCACTAAGGTGAGCGAATGTGTGTGTGTAATAGAGAGGAGGAAGAGACAGAAGCAGAATAGAACATGCACAGAATACCTGGAGGAGGAGGTCATGCCCAGAGGGATCAGTGAATGTTCTTTTATTTTTTAATTTTTGTTTTCTTTTGGGGGACACGGGTGGAGAGCAGATGTTGAGAGATGGAGAAATAAGTGGGATTGGGATGCATGATGTGAAGCTCCCAATGAATAGACAGAAATTAATTTAAAAAAAGAATGGAGCCTTATGTGTCAGCGACTTGGCTCACCAAGCAAAGGTGCTTTACACTAAACCTGATGACTCAAGTGCAATCCCCAGGACCCACACAGTGCAGAGGACCAACTCCCATAAATTGTTGTCTGACCTCATTTATGTCATAGCACATGTGCACTCCCTGACACACACACTACAAATAAATACAAATGTTGTATGTTTTTTGAAGAAAGGAATAAAAACCTGAACAAGAGGAATCGGTAAACTGTAAATCTGTAAAAACAAACCTTCCATTTTTCTCCTAGAATTTGAGACCTATAAAGAAAGCTCTTACTGACCTCAAAGTATATGGGTAAAAGAGGGATTAAGACATAACAATAAAGGTCCAGTGACAGAGGAAAGAGTTGAATGTGGAGAAAGAATAAATTGTGCAACCAACAGAAAACCGAGAAATTTATAGAGGGACTGGAGAGATTGATTAGTTTTTGTTTGTTTTGTTTTCCATGCTCACCTTGAGATATTTCCATTTTTTTGTCTTTTTTATTTTTAAATTTAAACTAGAAACAAGGCTGCTTCACATATCAATCCCAGTCCCCTCTCTTCCCTCCTCTTCTCCCACACCTTCCCACCAACCCCTTATCCCCCCTCCTCCCAATCCCTACTCCTTTCCCCAGGGAGGGTAAGGCCCTCCATGGGGGTTGTCCATATTCCATCATTTCATCCAGGACAGGGTCTAGGCCCTCCCCCCCAAGAGTTCAGGCTGAGAGAGCATCTCTCATTGTGGGATGGGCATCCAAAGTCCATTTGTATGCCAGGAATAAATACTGGCCTACTACCCAAGGCCCCTATATATTGCCTATGCCTCCTCACTGACACCCACATTCAGGGGGTCTTGATCAGTCCCATGCTGGAATCCCAGGCATCAGTCTGGGGTCCATGAGCTTACCCTTGTTCAGGTCAGCTGTTTCTGTGGGTTAAACAAGCCCAGTATTGACCCATTTGCTCATCAGTCCTCCCTCTCTGTCACTGGATTCCTTGAGTTGAGCTCAGTGTTTAGCTGTGGCTGTCTGCCTCTGCTTCTATCAGCCATTGAATGAAGGTTCTATGTGATTGTAGGCTGACACTCACCTGATCCATGCCTAAAATCCATATATTAGAGAGTACATACCGTGTTTGTCTTTTTGTGAGTGGGTGACCTCA